GTGGGGACGACGAGGTTTGAAGGGTTATCCTGATGTCGAAGATGAGTTCTACATTGTGCACAACTTGGTGGGGACGACGAGGTTTGAAGGGTTATCCTGATGTCGAGAACATTTAAAACATTTCCTCAAACTTCCATTTTAAAACTCGAGTAATCAAGTGGACCCTGAATCAAACTCTCCAACTACAAGTGTAATTTGCATATTTGTCGTAGTTTGAAGGGTTATCCTGATGTCAATCAAACTCTCCAACTACAAGTGTAATTTGCATATTTGTCGTAGTTTGAAGGGTTATCCTGATGTCGAGATTTTGAACCTCGTTCACCCCAAAGTATTTTTTTCTCCCTGACCCATTACCGATTCTCTCTTTCTTAATTAATGATCTTTCATTCCCGTCCACTCCAGTTGAGCTTCCTCGGAGAACCATTTGTTTCAATCAGCCTTACCGAGCTTAATTTTGTGATGGAAATTGCTTCTTGCCGCCCGGACCATCAAACCCGTCCTATCCTAATCTAGATCTCCTCATTTTCCCGTCTTTCCTTCTTACTGTGCTGCCGACAGAGCTCCGAGCCCACCCGCCATTATTTCCTGAATGGAGATCCCTGGCGCCATTTCCTTCTCATGGAGTCGTACTGTCTCCCATTCTATTCGCATCCCTCAACATGTGGCAGTAAGTGTCTGGTTCTCATAATCTCATTTTATTAGCTTTTCGGGGGCATTGATTGAGTGAATGATTAACCAAGGCCCCCTCTCTCTGTTTTTCTTCGTTTAAATGCTCTTTTTTTCTTGAAGATATGTGGCAAGAGGTTCAGGGTTTTCTGCGCCATTGATTCAACAGAGATGGTATGTACTTGAATTTCAATGTTTTACGTTTACACGGCCGATAGCTGTTTTTTGTATTTCAGACTTGGAATTGAGAATTGTAATATGTGTTAATTTAAAGTCAATTTGTTCTTGATTGCGTTTCCTATGTTTGATAATTGACTCCCAACATTTCTGTAGCTGTGAAGTCATATTATTGTTATTGATCTTTCAAAATCATTGATACTTCAAGGTTGACGTTGGGGGGCTCGGCATAGTTAATTTGAAACTTCCTAGTGAGGCTTTGCTGGCTAAAATAGTTCTGGCATTTCCCATTGGAGTCGAAGGTTCTATGGCACAGGGTCAATGGGAGAAAATATAGTCCTCACCCTCTCTTGTGATCCTCGGTCTGTAAGCTCTGTGAGCTCGATACTTTCAAGAAATATCGGATAGCTATCTCCCTTTTGTACTTTGTTTCCTTGCTTAGACCACCTTTCCTCCTTGGGGGTTGTATCCAATGGCTAACTCTCTTGATTTTGGTTTCGGCTATCCTCTTTCAGATAGGGAACCATTTGACGTGTCTTCTCTTCTTTCTTCATTGGGAAACGTCCATCTTCATTCGGGTAGTAGGAATATTATTTTTTGGTCCCCTAATCCCTCCAAGGGGCTCCCTTGCTGTTCATTTTTCCTCATTTTGAGTAGCCCTCGCGCTTCTAGGAACTCGAGGAAGGTTCACCTTCTCAAGAAGATCGAATTCTTTACCTGGCAAGCCTTACATGGGAGAGTGAACACAATGGGTTGCATTCAAAAACACTCTTCCTTCTTGTTGGGGCCGCAGTGGTGCTTTCATAGTAGCAAGGCGTCTGAAAATCTGGATCACATCATGCGGAAATCCCAGTTCGCACTTCCATCATGGGACTGTTTTTTGGAGACTTTTGGTGTTCACTTAGCTCGTTATAGAGATCGTTCTCTCATGTTGGGGGAGGTTTTGTTTCATCCGCCCTTTTGTGAATATGGTCTTGTTCATTGGCAATTTGCATGCTAGCTGTTTTCTTTCTTTTTCTTTTTCCTGTCTTGTTAGCTCTGTGGTTCGTTAGGTTCTTTGTGAGATGTTTTTGTAAGCCGTTTTGAGCTCTTTCATTTTTCTCAGCTCGATTTCTTGATTAAAAAGAACTTTCTTGCAGAAAAATCAGTTCACTGTATCAATAACTGGAGCTACAGGCTTTATCGGTCGAAGACTTGTGCAAAGGCTACATACAGGTTATATTCAATACATCAACCTAGGCATAAAAGCTTACCAAAAAATTTCACAAATCATATCTTTAACCTTTTACTCCAATCTACTTCTCACAATATAGTGGATGAACAACTGATTGAGAATTCTTTGTTGTGTTGCTGGTTATAGATAACCATAACATTCGAGTTTTGACACGCTCTAAATCTAAAGCCGAGTTGATTTTTCCGGGTAAGAAGGTAACTCATGTCAATAGTCATTCATTTTTTACTGTACCTTTTGACTTGTCTTCTCTCTAACTTTTGAACATTATCCCAAAACTTGTAGCTAGGGAGTTTCCAGGAATTGTGATCGCAGAGGAGCCAGGGTGGAAAGACTATCCCAAAACTTGTAGCTAGGGAGTTTCCAGGAATTGTGATCGCAGAGGAGCCAGGGTGGAAAGACTGCATCCAAGGTTCAGATGGCGTTGTTAACTTGGCTGGGTTGCCTATAAGTACCAGGTGGTCTCCTGAGGTTAGTACATATTTCCAATGGATTTTGACCCCCTATAACGTGGTTTATGGCTTCATTTTCTGTACAACAAGCTAATAATAAGCTGTTCGAATAGGGTACTAATTACTCTACTCGAATAGTACTTATAATCAATCTTGGCTAATAATAAGCTGTTCGAATAGGGTACTAATTACTCTACTCGAATAGTACTTATAATCAATCTTGGAATGGAGCTTAACATTTGGAATCTTTTAAGGTGGCACTAGATATGTCCATAACTGGAGATACGTCAGTTTTAGATAAATACTCATACTCTTTATTAAGACCAATCGAGAAGAGATTACAAGACACTCTATAAAAATTACTGCACTCTATGCTACTCTTTATTAAGACCAATCGAGAAGAGATTACAAGACACTCTATAAAAATTACTGCACTCTATGCTTTGTATTTCTTGGGGATGAAAATATTGGTAGAGTGAAGGGGTATTTATAACAGAGGCTAGACAATTTATTGCTAAAATACCTATATCGTTTTCCTAAAATATATAGACAATGGGCTCATAAGATTATTCGACTTGATCTTATTGAACTTGTGATGATATTTTAACTTTTTGATTCATGCTATGCTTTAGATCAGTTCATCCAACTGTTTGTGGCAGTATGATGAAACAACTATTATTATCTCTTACTCTACTTGTTTCAATTTTACAATCTGAGGACTTATTTTTTCAAAGATTAATAATATAGATCAAGAAAGAGATCAAGCAAAGCAGGATCAGAGTCACCTCAAAGGTAAAAACTTGTCCCGCTAACTATAGAGTTTTTGCAAACAGTTTAAGAGACTTCTTCCCTTTCTAGCTTTTACAGAAGCCCCGCTAACTATAGAGTTTTTGCAAACAGTTTAAGAGACTTCTTCCCTTTCTAGCTTTTACAGAAGCCAAATCTGATATATACCAATATTTAATACTTAACTAATGTGAAGGTTGTGAGCTTAATTAATGATGCCCCCGACGTAGCTCGCCCGACAGTTTTGGTTAGCGCAACAGCTATTGGTTACTATGGTATGTGTTATATATCTGAAAGAACATATGTCAATATTCAAAGAAAAAATTATCAACGATTGAGTAGAGTTCAATCGAACTGTTGTGAATTTTCATCCTTTTCCTTATAGGCTGCCAATTTTCTCAGTTTCAACGTGAGAATGCCTATTTTCTCAGTTTCAACGTGAGAATTATGAAGCTCATATTCATAATCATAATTATACTTGAACTATTCTATATCTCTCAGGCACTAGTGAAACAGCAATATTTGACGAACGAAGTCCATCCGGAAATGACTACTTGGCCGAGGTGAGAAAAGTTGTTAGATTGAGGTAATTGAAGAGGAATTGTTGGATTTTTTAATTTTTTTCTTTGAAATCGAACAGGAAAATAATTAAATTGCGATAGAGCTAGTACAACTTAAAACTTAAGATTGTTTGAAATGACTTCCTAAGTATTTGAAAACACTTCTTTGCACTTAAAAAAGTCGTTCTAAACAAACTCTTAATCCTCCTCTAATTCACTCAATGATTGTCTAGTGTGAAGCAGTTTGTTGACGAGCATTAAGATTTCGTAATCGTCATATATTGAAAATTTTCATACAATCCTAAGCTCGTGTAATATTTTGTGAACTTTCATTTCTGTTGTTTGATGACTGATTTTCCAGGTTTGTAGGGAATGGGAAGCAACAGCCCTGGGAGCAAACAAGAACGTCAGAGTGGCTCTTATTCGTATAGGTGTTGTTCTTGGTAAAGAAGGTGGTGCTTTAGGTATGGGAGTTTAACCTCATTATCTTCATTATTCATTCTTAATTATTTGGTTCAACTTTTATCTATTTTATTATCTATACTTCTTAAACATCCATATTTGAATAAAAGAGAATGTTTATTTTAGTTCATGTACTTTTAAAAACAATCGT